TATATATATATATTTTTATATTTACAATTTTGTCTAAAAAAATAATTTGCTTTTGTTTTTTCAGAGGAAAAAGGAGTATGAAATTGAGATGAACAGATTTCTCAGCGTAAGTCTTGGGTTTCTGCTTCAACATATATATATGTCACAGCTATTGCAGTTCTCATTTGCGTGCTTTGCTGCAAGAATGTCTTATGTATGTTTTCCTCTGCTATTCCATATGGATCTGTAGAGTTTGTCAGAGGAGGAGCAGCAGCGGGTCTTGTCTGAGGAGAAGATAGGTTTTAGGAGGGGTGCTGGAGCCAACAGTCCTGCCTCCAAAAAGAAGAACACTAAAGCAAAGGTAAGACCAAGTATAAAACTCCACATTAGGCCCATGAACTGAGACCTCACTGGGAAAAGTGGATAAGATCAGGCAGCAGCAGGAGGAGGTGGTGAGAAAAAGCTGTGGTTAGGTCAGTTAAGTTTCCAGCAGCCTTTAAAGAAGGTGTAAACAGGTGTTTCCTGTTATGCACTGGGTCTTGCAGATGGTCTAGAGCAACTGTGGTGCCTATACCTAAAAAACAGCAGCAGTCAGAAACAAGTCTAACTGGCATGCATTGTGCGCCGATCACTGGTTGCTCAGATAAAATCTATGATTTAAGTGTTGGGTATCATCAGTTTACTTTTGTTTTACCACTTGGATCACAGCATAATTAATTATAAGTATTGTGAAACTCTAGTGTGTTAAGCTCAAGTCCCATATCCTATATGTTTAATTCATCTTCCTATTAAACAGTGAAAGTTCAGTATTCTACAGGCTTTTAATTAGTTACTCAGATGCTGTGCTATTGTTTTCTGATATTTCCTCGCTCTGTTACTTGTAGGCCAATCCGGAGAAACCCAAAAGGCCGATTTCAGCCATGTTCATCTTCTCTGAGGAGAAACGTCCTAAACTGCAGCAGGAGCGGCCGGACCTTTCTGAGAGCGAGCTCACAAGACTCCTGGCCCGTATGTGGAATGAGCTGCCAGATAAGAAGAAGGTAACCTGTCAATGCAATGTAACATTATACTGCTGAAGAGATGTCAGGTCACAGAATCATACTGATATGTGAGATTTTTCTAATTATCTCGTTGTCTTGGTCATTTAGGAGAAGTTTAAACGCTTAGAAACAGTCCTGAAGGCCGAGTCAGAGAAGAAGGAGAAGGAGGATCGTAGTCGTCTGCCGGACCCGCCCAAGACTGCACAGGACATCTGGCAGCAGAGTGTCATAGGAGACTACCTGGCCAGATTTAAGGTACGCATCTCTCTCCTCTCAACTTAAACTGGTAATTTTGTTTTAGCCCCATATCATCATAAACACGGATTAAACAGGTGATAATAGAAGTGCATGTATTCAAATATGTCCTAAAGGGGCAGAGGTTGATCACAGGTATCCATGCTACAAGGTTAAAAACCTGGAACTAATAAATTTATGCGTCATTATTCGCCAGTCGCCACAAATGCATTTAATGTGAGTGTGTGCTTTTGCAGAATGACCGGCAAAAGGCACAGAAAGCAATGGAAGCAACGTGGAGCACCATGGAGAAAAAGGAGAAAATTATGTGGATCAAAAAGGCAGCAGAGGACCAGAAAAGATACGAGGTTTGTGGCAATTCACTGACAGTGTCCAGTATAACACCACAGCGTCTGTATACAGTACCGAGAGAGAGCTAACAGTTCACTTAACTCTCCTCAACAGAGAGACCTGTGTGAGATGCGCTCTCCTGCTGCTACCATTGCCTCAGGGAAGAAGATGAAGTTTGAGGGTGAACCCAAGAAACCACCATCGTAAGTTTGTCACATCCAGCTCGTCTGTGCTACCCGTTGGGTGCTTAATCTGTGGACACCTCGGTTGTGACTTGTGCTTCCTTTTGACTCTCTAGAAACGGATATCAGAAGTTCTCTCAAGAGATGCTGTCCAACGGAGAGCTGAATCACCTCCCGATGAAGGAGCGGATGACTGAGATCGGCAGCCGCTGGCAGAGGTTACCGCTGAAGAACAAGGACAACTACAAGAAGATCGCTGAGGAGAAGCAGCGACAGTACAAAGTCCAACTGGAACAGTGGCTCGCTGTAAGAAGTGGTTGTTTGTTGTTTGACTGGGGGGGAAGGGGTATCAAAACATCTTATCTAACATATGTGTCCATCCTTCCACAGAGCTTGTCTTCACAAGAGAGAAACACTTATAAAGAGTATAACTCACAAGTAAGTCCGTTATTTCATTCCTCTGGTTAGCATTGTGCTGTCACAAACTGGATTAGAAAGCATACTGTTGCTCTGAAATGTTTTAATCTTTCTAACATGTTACGTTGGCGCATTTTAAAACGGTTTAATTCCTTGACGTTTCAGAAACGAAGAACTACGGCGAAACCCGGAGGCCCCAAGGCAAAGGCCAAGAAATCTGTAAGTGCACGCTCTGGTTCTTCTCTCGTTAATCAGACTCAGTATTTTTGCTGATGTGTTGTCGTCGGCCATACCTGAAAATCTCTCTTCCCACAGGACACGGAGGAGGAGGAAGAGGACGACGATGAAGATGAGGATGAGCAGAAGGCTTCCTCTGAGGCAGACTCATCCAGCGAGGATGATGACGATGATGATGACGTGAGTGGCGTCTGTCTTTCCCAGTACACGGAAAAAACAATAAGAAGGTGACTGTGCTAAATATATATTTTTTATCGTTGTTTGTTTAAAGAAGGAGGCGGATGAAGACGACGACGACGACGAAGATGACGATGAGGCGGAGGACAAGGAGAACAAGTCAGAAGAAAGCAGCAGCGAATCAAATTCACAGGGGTCGTCGGACTCTGATTCGGACTGAAACTGGCCATCGTCGTCGTGAGACGAACTGAGCAGCGCTGAGCTGAGCCAAGAGTCAAGGGAGCTCTGCCACTGTGCCAACCCTGCTCTCCTCCCACCACCAGAGGGAGCCCCTGCATTGCCTCATCCACTTCACACTCACCCATTTTATGTTGCTGCGTTGGTGATTCTCATGGAGGGAACCTGCCCTTATGTCCAAAATCAGTTTCATTCCCTCCCTGGTGTGATGGTCATCTGACAGCACGGGCCGCTGACGTTATGCCAAAAACAGCATCCCACTGGTTTGGTGATGTCATGAACATTTCTGCCGCTAGTTTAAATTTTGACTTACAGGTTCAGTGGTTTATGGTTAGAGTTTTAATGTTGAGGGAGATGAATGAACTCTCCACTGTTTATTTTATTATTCTGGTAATTAGTTGAAAACCGGTGGCTTCATAGAGCCAAAGAACATAGTATGGTGGATCACTTTAGGGAGGGGGCGGTGGGGGCGGGGGGTGTGCAGGGTACTGAAAAATTGCACTCTTCAGAATGTTTCCATGAATATTTTTTTTTTTTTTCCAGAACCTTGTTGCGTTGTTCTCTATTCTCAATTTATGATGTAGATTTTATCATTTGGTTCTTAAAGAGGTGGTATTTTTTCAGGAAAAAAATCAAGCCATTATGAATGTCTTTTTGTTGCTGGAAAATTTCAGAACTTGTTACTTACCCATGTTCTCATTTAAAGGATAACAGTGTCTACATAAAGTATTCACCCCCTCTTGGACTTTTTTCATGTTTTATTGTTTTACGATGTTGTACCAAAGTGGATGTAATGAGGCTTCGATACTTGTTAACGGAACGTGTATCTTAAAAGAAATATTGCAACATTTAGGTCAAAATGACTCATTTGCTTGAGAGTAAACCCAACCACATCCAGCTGCGATGTCTGCCTGTAAAACTGAAGCAGAACTGAAACTGACATTGACCTTTTCCAAACTGTTTCATGTAATGTCACGAGACAGACCAATCTGTAAGCGCAGAAACCCAAAGTCATTACTTACGTTTCACACTGCAAGCATCTTTGGCAGCAGTTACAGCCTGCAGTCTAATGGGGATCAGTCTTTATCAGCTTTGCACATGTGGGCGCTGCATTTCCCGCCGTTTGTCTTTGCAAAGCTGCCAATCTGTGGACTGTAAGTGAGCAGCAGTTTTCAACTCAAATTCTCTACTTGGGAGTCCCTCACTAATGTGCTTTTTGTACCAGCACAGCCTGCTCTAAGCAGATTTACAGCTGTGCCATATTCTTTACATTTCTTCCTACTGATTGACATAACTGTACTCTGAAGGCTATCATGTGCCTTGAAAATGTTCTTGTATTCTTCCCTCTTGATTGGTAGTTTCCAGTAAACTTTTTGCGATTTATTCATAATGTTCCTTTGTCTTCACAATTTATTTTTTTATTAGACACTCGAATAACAAGCTGTAGGAGCTTCCAGAAATGTGTATTTACAAGTCACTCTTTTAATTACACACATGCGATCTCCATTCAACTTATTTAACGTACAGAAAGCACCAGTCAAAACGTATGTAATCAGTTATTTTTGTTTAATATTTGGACTTAATTTAGAACCGTTTGTGAAGGTTCGTTTTACAATAAAGAGCCTGCTGATTTGTGGGGGAAAAAAAAAAAAACCTGATTACATCCACTCTGCTTCAGAGTTGTGAAACAAAAAAAGGTCCACGGGAGTGAATACGTGTTATAGGCACTGCAGTATCCATTGCCATGTGTCCGTCATTCTTCAAACTTAACTGACATGTCTTGTACACAGAAATTCATCAGTCTGAAACAATTCTGTCTGACTCAGCAGTTTGTTCTGGCCTGGCAGTAATAAACAGTGTTTACTGTGTGACCAGAGCAGTTTGTCGTTGAAGGGATAACACTCGTTTTCCACACTTTGAGCTCAATCTGACTCTGTGTTTTCAAAGGACATGTCACACAGTCGGTGTATGTTTCTCCTTTGAACTGTCGTTTTACATTTCGCTCGCAGTTTAATTGTTAATAGGTTTGTTTTTAATCGTTGTGTTCGGATCCATCTGGAATCATTTGTGGATGTTGAACTGAATGGGGTTTCCATCAAACATTTTCAAGTTCATTTTGAAATTCTAATGGTATTGACTGTAATCCACGTGGGTTTTAGTCCGATGCTTATCCCAAAAAAGTGTGCACTTAACGTAAATCTGTCCCTCTGTGTGAGTTTGTGTGCATCCATGCACAGAACTGTGTATATATGAGGGGTGTGAGTGTGTTTCTTTGCTTTAATGTGTGCTATTTTTACTGTTTTTGTTGCATACCATGATGTGACTGCAGCGTGCATGTTTGTGCCTGTATGGGGACATTTTACCAACACCATGAATGTAGATATTGTTGAATCTTTTTTTTTTTTCCAAAGGTCTTTTAGTAATTTTTCTGCTCGGCGCTGTCGTGTCATTGGTTGCCAGAACACGGACCAATGACAAGACTTTCCTTCATGACTGTCATTTCGGGTCCACAGACATATGAGTACATGGCAACTATTAATAATCTGTTAGTAATGGACTGATTTTGATCATTATGAATCTCATCACTGTCTGAAACAAAACCAGCGTGGACTATTTAAATGATTTGGGAGGGAAAAGGAATCTGATTGCTGATATTGATCACTGAGAGTTTGTAAAAGGGATTTGGGGAACCGAGTTGCCAGAGGAATTGGGGTTAAAATCTTGTAATTTTTCTGTAAATACTGTTTTTGTATTGAGTGCTTATTGTTTTGTTAGTGCTTTAAGTTTGCAAACCCTCATCTGTGACTTCTGAGGCCAGTGAGTTTTTCACTCATGGGGGAGAGTTTTTGGTTTAATTCACCTGTTTTAGTTGTTTCTTCTCTCCCCTATGTTGGTTTATAGAGATATCTAAGACAGCAAAGCTTTACAAGTTTGTACTGCTGACCATTTGACAGAATTTGATGTTTTCTATAGCTGAGGGTGTTCTTATGTCCTTGTAGTTAAAGTCTTTCGGCAAATAAAAAAAATGATCTTTAACAGTTAGGAGTGTGTGTTGTGTAACCTATAAGCTGAACTAATGACTGTCAGAACACTGTTTATGTGGCCCACAGTATGCTGCTGGTGTACTGGGGCTGTTTTTAATGGTGAAAGGGAATCATGCTTCATCATATTTTAGACAATACCACGCTTTGGATTTATCAATGAATGAATTAATTGGAAACAATTTCGATTTAATAGTCATTTAAGTGATTTAAATGTTAAAATTCACTAGTTCCAGCACCTGAAATGATCAGATTTTCTTGATTAAAGACTGATTATCTTTTGGTCTTGGACTGTTAGGTGAAGGGATATCATACTGGGCATTTTTCACTATTTTAATAAATAAATGTATTAAATAATCAATAAACTAATCTGTAATAAAAGCCAAAAGCTTGCACAGCCACAGTACCCTGCTATGAGACCAGAATTTAGCTACTAATAACCTCCCATTCCTCCAACTCTCTATGCAACATGAGTTTACTTTACCACAATACTCCAAATTTACTGTACGACAATTTAATTAAACACATTAACACACTGGTTTTCAAACTTTTTTTGGTTGGTTGTGTCCCCATAAAACTAATGACCACCTTAAAACAAATAGTAACCCTGTCTCAAATTGTTTACTTTGAACATTTTCTAGAGATGCGAAAGGGGAAAACTAAAGAGGAGACGGTCAGAGAACAGTCAGGGAAATAAAGGAGAAATATGGTTTTAATTAGAGAGTCTCATGGCCACTTTGGGAGTCCTGCCCTCAGGCTGGGAAACACAGAATTAAGAAATATGCAACATATAGGCATTAAACTAAAGTTTTAACTAGTTTTTAATGAAAGGATGCAACTACAAGGCCTTAAGATCAGGAAATAAAAAAAATAATAAGCACAAACACAGGGACTCCTGACATTCTGGAAACATGACAATGGCCCCATGCACAAAGCCAGCTCTCTAAATAAATGTTTTTCATAGTTTGGTGCAGAAGAACTTGACCTCAACCCCATCCCACAACATGTGGGATTAACTGGAACACGCTGGAGCAATGCCAATCACCTAACATCAATGTGACCTCACTAACGCTGCTGTGGCGGGAGCAGCCGGGTACCAAAGTCCGAGCGGGAAGCCTTCGCAGAAAGGTGGAGACACATTAAACCCCCCGTGGCTGTTGAAACGAGGTACAATCACACATGCATGTAATGTGCGCTGTCCACACACTTTTGGCCATATAGTGCGCATTATTGGTACCGATGACCTCATTCGACCGTCCAGGCACAACCAAGTGATCCCGGATAACAAGGAGCAATCTCACGTTCATTTATTGATGTCTTTGGTGGATGGGAAAAGTCCGCCTGCGTCAAGCCTGTCAGAAATACCGGAAGCACGCACATTGCGCCTTCAAAATAAAATAAGAACCCCCCCCAGCACAAGTCTCCTAGCAACCTTGGCTTTTATTGGCTGGTCTCCGACAATAATTGGCTAAATATAGCTGGAGCATGGCTGGCAGAGGGATGTGTAGGATGCTTTTTGTAACAAATGGTTTGGTAACAGTAAGGATGAATTTTATATTTTATATATATATTTTTCATATTTTAATGTTATATATCTTTTATATATATATA